CAACGCGCCACTCAGCCAGCCCAACAAAACCTATTTTTTAAAGAAAAACTTAGAATTCTAATATACAATGAGGTCAGCAAGTAAAATACCAAAAATCCAAAGCAACCCCCAGGATGCATTAAGTATAGAACTTTAAAAAGGAGTGTGGGCTAATTGGCTTGCACTTGCTGTTATTTACCTTCTAAGAGGGCTGTGTTGAGATACTTCCAACTATGTCATATATGTCATATGAGGAATGGATAAGGGAGCTAGCGATGTCAATGTAGGAAAAAAGACTGAAGAAGAGGACATGATACTAGTCTTCAAATTCCTCAACTCACCATTTTTCCCCTTAAATATACTTTTTCTTCATTCCTATTTTAGTGACAGGCATCACCATCTATCTATTCGCCTAAGCCAATGACCTGAGAATAATCCAAGATGCCTCCCTCTCCCTCACCTTCCACTTCTATTTATTTATTTAGATTTTATTGGGGAGTTGGGGAAGGGGAACAGTGTTGGGGAACTGGGGAAGGGGAACAGCCAAGTTGTTGTTCTCCAATCTTAGTTGCGGAGGGCACAGCTAGCTCAGCTCCAAGTCCAGTCGCCATCAGGCCGTCCGTTGGCAGCTTGCCGCCGCTCAGCTCAAGGTGCCGTGTTCAATCTTAGATGGGGGGCAGCCCACCATCCCATGCGGGAATTGAACTGAAAACCTTGTTGCTAAGAGCACACGTTCTAACCTCTGAGCCATCCAACCACCAGTCGGCAGCTCAGAGCAGCTCAGCTCAAGGTGCCGAGTTCAGTCTTTTAGTTGTGGGCGGCTGTAGCCCACCATCCCATGTGGGAGTTGAACCCGCAATCTTGTTGTTAAGAGCATGTTCTCTCACCAGCTGAGCCATTCTGCCACCTGTTAGCAGCTCAGAAGCAGTTCAGCTTGGGCGCAGCTCACTGGCCCATGTGGGAATCGAACTGGTGACCCAGTTGCTCAGAGCTTGCACTCTTAACCAACTGAGCCATTCGGCCAGCTCTCTTAAATGTCTCTTAAAATTGTTCTGCTACCCAATGTTGACAATCTCCCCTGCTCCATTTATTCCTCTTCCTCCAGTACCCCTATCTCCCTTTGGAAACCACTCTGAACTTCAGAGTAATCAGCATATTCTTTCTACCAATAGCACTGCAAGTAACTTAATTCAAGCCATTAATCTAGGTGGATATTAGCTGGAACTATTGGGAAAGAACGGGGTTGGTAAGAGTAAGGTGGGAGTGAAGGAAGAGTTGAAAAAAAAGACGCACTCTTTCTCTGGACAATGGAATGTAAGAAGGTGATGTCTGGAACTATTGCACCCATTGTTGCTACCCTGAGAGAGCAGAGGATAGAGCCAATTTGACAAGGAACTCAGGAGTGAAAAGGACAGAATATCAGAGCTGGAGCCCTGATGAGTCTGTGAATTTCTGGATGAAGCAACACTGGAGGCCAGTTCTAACACAGGACCTTTTCCTTTATACAAGACAATAAATTCTCTTTCTGTATTAAGACAGTTCAAGCTGAATTTTCTGTCACTTGTCATGAGTGTCCTAACTGATGAGACACTGGTTTAATGATGCTTATGATGTCTCAGCTGGGTCACTGCAAGTCTTCTCCGAAGAAATCCCCACAATGCAGCCTCTATCCTGCTGTCAGGGTGACTTTTCTAAAACCAGAGTGGATGTCTCTCTTCTACTTACAAACTTACTATGGCTCCTCTACCTTTACAATAAAACCTAAACTCCTTAAGTAGAGCAGAAACAAATCTTCAGTTTGGCCCCTGCCAATTTCTCTGGTCTGATCTCTTACAACTCTAAAGCTATTTCAAGACTCTCTTTTTTTTTTTTTCCTCTGTGTTCCCTTTGCTTGGGATGACCTTCTTAATCTGGCTGATAAAAATGCTTTAAGTTACTGCCTAAATTTAGCCAAGAAATGCAAGGTTAGTTTAACACCCCAAAATCAATTACATTATAAACTATATCATAGAATGAAGGACAAAAACCCCATGAACATCTCAACAGACACAGAAAAAACATCTGACATAATTCAACATCCCTCATAATAAAAACACTCAACAAACTAGGACAGTGGTTCTCAACCTGTGGGTCGCGACCCCTTTGGGGGTC